CCCCCCTCATTGACCCTTGCAACCCCTCCAGAAAGACTTCGACGATACCCCAATTGCGCCGCCTTCATTGGCTCGGTCCACGCCGTTATGATTTGCCTTCTCCAGCTCGCTACAAGCTCTCGAAAAGCCGCACATCTTACCTATCTGACTCTTTTACCCGTTCGCTTTTACCGTCCCCCTCTAATTCCTATCTCCTTCGCTTGCTCCCCCCCCTCCCAAGCTGCCTGCCCTTCCTCATCGAAGCTCATTCATTCCCACCCTCCACCACGAGTAAAATTCCTGGTCGTAGCTCCATGCATAATGGGAAGGGAGGTCTCCAACTAAACCCAGCGTATGTACGCCCCCCCATCTGCACCTCTCCTCCTGCTGCCAATCACACTCTCCCGCCGCCTGCCCTCTTCGAGGCCTCCTCCACCCCTCATCGACCCCTCCGTCACGCCCAAGCCAGCCCCTTGGGATCAGCTCTGTCGTGAAACCACATCCCCCATCTGCCCTCTCTCTCGCCCCCAGGACCAGCCACCGCACGTTCTGCCTGTGGGTGCAGGCAAAGGTCGAAATGCATTGATCGACCCTTTCTCAAGGCCGCCTCTTCCTCAGCTTCTGCCAGCAGGGAATCCCTTCCTCCCAGGTGACACAGGAAGCAAAAGTAGCGGAGTGGAGGAGGGGGATGGGAGAGGATGGGAGGGGTGTGGCGCCGTCCAACGAGAGTCAGTGAAATAGCCAGGAAAACCTCCCCATCTGGTTGGGCAGGCGAGTTGCGTTTCTTTCCTTCTTTTTTCTCCCTTTGGTCATTCATTGCGTCTTCTCCACCTCCCATTCCCGACACACCCCCTCCCGTTTCCTTTCTTTTCTTTGCGATCCCATTTCGATTCGACCCTCCCATCTGCACACGAGGACGTCCCTGATGTACGCAGGGCATGGGCGGACTCGGGGAGGGGTCTCTTGGGCTGCGGACCCGAATGCTGCATCATCGTCATCACCGGGGTGAGTTGCTATGTAGGTAGGGATATATGCATGCTCTATTGTTCCATACAAAGCTACCTGTGCTTGGTATCCATCTATGTAGAAAAAATAAGGAAGAAGAACCTGTGCTATCGCCACCGGTAGGAACAGACATCCATCAGGGAGGGGGGGTCCGGATTACTGTATTGTCGTGCATCGCTTTCCGGCGCCCACGACTGTCTCCAACCGAGCTGCCTTCTGCATTCCCCTTTGCGATCGGGTTGCACATGGACGGCCGAGGTCTGACGTCTGTGCCCAATACATCGTCCGATTACTACCTTCCAAGACCTGGTACAATGAATGAAAAATAAAGAAACAAGAGATGCTGCTTCCTCATCTCGCCTAGCGCATATCCCAATAATGCTAATCGTCTGCCGTTGCTCTGTATCGTACCATGCTTCTTCGTCGTCATATCATCATTAAGAAAGAAAGAGGAGGCACGTCGGTCCATCCGTGTCGCACCGAGGGCTGTGGTGGACTCCCCATTTATTCACCCTTGCAGTGGTAGTTGACGCACTACCGTTGCCACGAAAACTCGTGTAAGTGGTTCTGTCTGCGAGTCGTTGCAAAGACAGATGCGCTTATGTGAGATCGCTTCTAGGAGAGGAAGGCCTGAGTCGTTGGGTAGGTGGAGCAGCCAGGCCAAGAGGTAGGCGATTGCCGCCTTTTGATCTTCTCCATATAGCAAAAATGAGTTCCGATACCACCATGACGTAGCTAGCTCCTCGTGCCCATTCTGTCTTCAGATTGGCTTGACTTTCTTGCCTTTGAGTCCAGGTCGACCAAATCCGTCTCGCTGCCTCATTGCCATCATGTGCTGAATCTCGTCGTCGCCACCTCCATGATCTATCACACGGAACCCATCTCCATCTACGAATACGGCAGTGAACATCTCCGATATCGATGTAGCGAGACCCTGGAGAGCGGCGATACGCTCGATGTCCGCCTCGGATGTGATCTCGAGAATGCCTAGCTGCTGGTTGATGCGGCCCTTGATCCTGCCTTCCACAATCAGGAACCCGACAATGTCCTGCACCTCGGGCTCGGAGATTCTGAGCTGCTTTGCAAGCCAGGACAGTTTCATTCTCGTGTATGGGGCGATGAGCTTGACGATGCCCTTGGTTCGCATGTTCCTAGTCACCTCGTCGATGTTCTCTGCGATGAATGTATCTGACAACAGATCTGGGTTATTCTGCAGCGTCCTCTGGTAGCCGTGCACATCGTCGCGCTGGTACGCGTCCACCAACTCTGTCATGGCCGAGATGCGAGGGTCATTTCTGTATGGCTTGGTCTCTTGCGAGTCAAACGGATTGATGTTGGACTTCATCAGCATGGTGGTAAGCAGGAGGTACTTCAACACCTGAATACGTTGCAGTGAGCCAGCCTCGTCGTAGTTGCGGAACGACTCGAAGAAGTCGCTCTGAGCCTCGTCCCAGTTCTCCTCGCTCATGTGCATCTTTCCACCACACTCTCGAATAATACCCATGATACGCGGATGTGGGACTGCCGATTTGACTTGCAGGGCGCGCTGGTACAGCGTCTTAAGCTGTTTGTTGTTCTTGGTTTCCGCCAACATCTGGATCTCCAGGGCGTAGATCTCCAGCGAGTATGTGCCTTTGCTGGGATCATCACTCCCGTCCTCCATCTGACAGGCCTTATGCAGCTCCCGCAACTTCTTCGTGATGGCAGAGTAGTCCTTGCGGTCAAGAAGAAGCTTGGCAAGCTTGACATTTGTCTTGAGCCAGAGCCGTTCGTTGTTGGTGCTCTGGAAACTCTCGAGGGTCAAGGAGTAGAATCTTTCCACGCATCGTACCGCCTCAGGGCTCTCGGCACCCTTCTCGATGAAGTCCAGTATGTTATTGATAGATTTCTCAGAGTAGTTTCGTGTAACAGCAGACTTGACGTACGTGAGCAGCTGCTCGTAGTGTTCGGATGCCTAACCATGGTGGGGGGGTAAGATTAGCAACGATTCTCGACGAGAACAGGTGTTCAGCAACTGGCAAATCAGCCCGACTGACCTTGTCGTATTGCGCGAGTTTGAACTCAAGCTTAGTGGCCTGTTTCAATCCTTTGAATCCCCATTCCGACTTCTCCTCTTCGAGAGGCGGGATGCCCAGGAATTCAGCAATGGCATCTTCGGGATCGGTCGTCTTCAGCTGCTTCGCATTGTAGTACTTGTTCTCGATATCGACATCGGCAGACTCGTCTTCGTCGTCTTCCTCGTACTCGAAGTCATATCTTGGAAGAAAAGTTAGCTAGGCTGCCGCAAGGTACGACGCATTCACGGGCGAGAAAGCTTACTGCTCCTCATCAGACTCCTGCATGAAATCCTCGTCGTCAGACATGATGGGAGTTGGCCGTGTGGATTGAAATGAGAAATATAAATAAGCTTTCAAAGAATTATTGCAAAAAGGACCTCTCTAGACGGAGAGGCAACGAGTAGAGGCCAAAAACGAACCCCGGACTGCGAAGAGACGTGGAGCTGGTGGTTTGTAGAGCTGGAGGTGGGGGTGTGTTGCCTAACTCCCCGTTGCCAGCAACAATGCTGAGGTAATGATCCGGCGGGTTTTTGATTTTCCCTGCCGCATACTCTAGCTACCCTATAGCAGACCCCCCAGCTTCACCTTCCTGGTTCAAGGAAACCTCTGGTTCATGGTTTTTTATGAATTCATGTGATTTGCAAAGAGTTTTTGCGAGGGTAGCTGGAGAATGGATTTCTGTGCAATAAATGAGTGGGGGTTCTGCGTATCTTGTATTCCAGAGCAGAGACCTTGATACGTGCATAGACAATCAATTTTATTGTTGACGTGAAGAGGCCATGCCAAGTGGCTGAAATAAAACATAGCGTACCTTAAGCCTCCATACAGCCTCAGATTTCGACACAATATCAAAACAATCAACTCAGTTATCAATATAATATCAAGCTAATATCAAGCTGAATAATATACAATAATATATTATTTTACTGCTATTGTTTGAAATCTTATTAATAACAGAATGAGGTCTCCAGCCTGTATGAAAAGAGCTCTGGTGTGCCATGTTTTATTTCAGCTACTTGCATGCATACGGAATCGTCAGACGATATAGGTGTGGAGTAAAATGGATCTGATCTTAAGATACAGATGTTACAGACAGTTTGATCTATGGCAAATGTTGGGTGTTCCTCAAATAGTTTCTTAACCGTCCCCAGCCAATACTCTGAGGATCAAATTGACGCTGGTTCACGCCATGAGAATGATATCATAAAATTGGAAAAATCATAAAGGCCATTATAATTACCAAGGTGTAAGATTCTTGATATTACTTGGGTACAGAATCCCGCTGGCGCCAATTTGCTTCCCTCATCCTTCTGTTTCATACACCGAATCGCCCTGTTAGCTCGCCGAGCAAGGCATGTCACCCTTGATATTCCCTTGTCGCCTAGCATTGGATTTCTCTCTCACACTGGTCTTGTTGTTTTGTATATGCCGCCGGAGTGACATTGAGCCTTTTGGCGGCCTCCTCAAATGTCGCCGCTTTCGATATGTTGAATGCGCCTCAGATTTAAGAACGAACAGTAAGGGGTATGTTTTTTGGGTTAGGTATTCACCAATGACAATAATGGAACACTGAGTGATTAAAAAGCCAACGTAAAAGAGTCACTGAATATTTTTACCTGCTTGGCTTGGAACAAACTGTGTGTGCTGCCATACATCGGGCTCGATGTTTGCAAGCACGTGCGAACAGCTGGCGGCGGTTGTTCGCAAACGCCTGGCGCCAGCCCACACCAGTCCAAACCAAGGGGTGCAAGCAAACTGGAAACAACTTCTTGTTTTCTTCACCTCAATCTTGCTCTTGATTTTCTTCACCCCCATTCGACCTCACCTCGCTTAGCCTTCCTGTTCTCGTCGTCCTCAGCAACAAGATCGGGCTCTTTGCCCCTAGCCTCGCATTTCTCAAGTTTTCACGGCCAGATTCTGCACCTTAAGCACCACACTCGTTTCAGAACCTCGATCAAAATGCTGCCAAGCGCTCTAGTCAGCGTCTATCAGCAGTACAAGGCTGATACCGACGCGATCGCTGGATGGCTTGCTCTGACAGCCAAAGCAGCCAACTATTCCGACCACCCGTTGTCTCCTCCGACTACGTCTACGGGTCGATTGAAGGGAAAAGCCAGGGCGTTGGCCAAAGAACAAGCCTTGAAGCCCAAGAAAGCAATTCTGCCCATCAAACTCTTCGTTCCCCTTGCCAAATATATCACGTCTCTCAAAGCGCCTCGGATCCTCGTCCCGCAATCTGTCATCAATATCACGGAAAGAGTCATCCGCCAGAGATCAGTTTTCAGTTCTCGACTCAGCCACCAAGGGGCTAATCCTTCCGTTGAAGGCGACCGATCGCACTCTTACTTTGTCGATATTCTGCAGCAGGTTGTTCGCCTTTTCCGCCAAAACGTTGCGCAGTCGCCCACGACCTCGGTTGAGAGCATCCACAGTGACGAACTTGGAAACCGCTTTGCGTCTCTCCATGTGGAAGAGCCCTCACAAGAGTTCCTCAATGCCACCGGCGCCAAGCAGTCTACTGCAGAGAACAATATTGTCTATGAAGCGGAGCCACAGACCGATTTGGATGACGCCATTGCGGCGTATGGAATGTTACTACAGGACCTCAACAAGATCCGTGACGAGATCAAGCAGATTTGGCTAAGCTGTGCCGAAGGCTCCGTCGAACTAACAGCTGCTGCAATTGCGACCAATACTGGCGTTGACCTTGCCAGATACTTGATTGATCAAGTACTTCCGATCTTTCAACTGCATGGGGGCGTTGGTGAAGTGGCCGAGGCATTCGCCCTGCAGTTCATCCGGAAACAAGACTTGAATGATAGTGACTTGGACCCTGAGGAAATTGATGAAATTGTTGATGAGATGATGATTGTTGTCAACGATTTTGCGAGAAGGCACGCGAGCTGTCGAGATTGCGCCCATAGACAGAATGAGCCCTGGAAGCCTACTCCGGAACCCATCCAAGAACTGCTGGACAAGATTGAGGACGAGGTTGCGTCGGATAATCAGCTCCTAGGAGAGCTCGTCAACAACTTGTACGCCGTAGGTTGGCTGGCCAAGGGGTACTTGAAGGTGGATGAGATTATGAGCGGCCTGGATCAGATGCAGACGACAAAGACGGCTCCATTCTATGTGTGCTTTGCATTGCAAGTGACACTCGACATCCACCACACCCTCGGTGATTGGTGCCTCGAGCCCGCAAAGCATCTTGATAAGGAACTCAACTTCATGATCGAATCCATCGACCAGTTCTACAAAGATTCAGCCAATATGAGTGAGACGATGTGCAAGACTTGTGATTGCCTCAAGAAATTTCAACAGGAGATCAAAGATTTTCAGAGTGACCCGACTATTGAAAGTAGAAAGCAATTCTACAATTGTATGAACTACGCTTCCGAACCTTCTGAAGAACGACATAGGAGCATGCAGCTATCCCCAGTCCTCTGTGGGCTAACGATTTTCTACTTCCGCGCCTCTATGCACGATTTCGGCTTCATCGAGTTCGGACGCCACTACACCATCAAGCACGCCGTTCATCTGTACAACGCTCTCGTAAAGGAAGGGTTGATGGAAAACCCCTGGGGTGACATGCAGCTGGCCGAGAACTTCTTTGGGCGATCGAACATCTTTGCAGGGCAGAAGCCTGAGAGTACGAGAGGCTACATCAAGCAGCTTATGATACACGAGGGAATGACCGTCAGAGGACTGAGCGAGCTATTCGGTACACTGGATGGCCACTCTACTTCTTGCGAGGAGCCAAGAACACGTGGATACCGAACCAAGAACAAGAAGAAGGCTCCGAACCGTGGTGCTCCTGTGTCTGCTATTTTTATCGAACGATACTACAATCGATCGCAGAGGATTGATTACCGACCCGAGGATGTCGACGAGATCATCTCGCGCCGCCGTCATGACGAAGCACCGTCATCCCCAAACAAATGTGGCCGACACTCACCTCATCTGCTTCTTCAACCACTCGCGGAAGCACTAACTGAAGAAAGCCTTGAGGTGGCTTTCCCCAGGCTGTTGATGCACAAAGTCTGTGGTGAATTTTTAATGCAAGTCAAGAATCAATGTGTCGAAACTATAGAGGAAGCGATTCGCCAGAAGGTGAGAGGGCGAGAACTCGTCATGGTTATCTTTTCTTTACTCATCAGTGACCACGTTTTGGGGAAAGAGTTGCTTTCTAGGGCTGCTAGGATTGCCAATGATACCGTTGCTTCTGGGTCTGGCAAGAGACTTGTCGATGTCATGGAGACGGAATTTGACTGGTCCAGGGAGCAATTGGAGGAAGTTTGCTCCAAGTCAAAGTTAGCAGAGGATTTCTGAGGAGAGGGTCAAGAGCCTATTTCTTTATGATTGCTTTTTCAACATGTAATAAGCAAGAGCTTGGGCCTACCTAGTTGCCAATAGGTTTAATTGTTAGACTAAATGTATGGCGTTTTGTAGTATCTTGGCTGACTTCTACCTTTCTGAAATGACCATCCCTACAGGGCTAATTGATATATGTAGTGTTCCAAACCATTTTCTCCTCATTTTTACCATGCGGTTCTTGTAATTCTAACTGCGAGTTGGAAAAGCGGAAAGCAACGATCTGATAGCTAGGCCGACTAAATGATCACCTTATTCAAACCTGATGAAGAAATGGGCTAGACCATATCAATAACAAGTATTCTGAGCTAATGAAAGCCACAAGGTACGGAGATGTTAAGCTTAGATCGGAAATGCTTGAAAGCATGGTATACTACATCCTTGTCCGGACCTTGCTTAAACTAAGCTTGAGTGACCGTTGAACCAACTTCTTGTCCCAGGTTCAATCATTTTGTTTTGGATGAGTCCACTGTTCGCGTTGCATCTGTAATTGCAATGATTTTCTCGTGCAATTCCTTGAGAAGGACAGTAGTAGCTGCCAAGAAAGCTGCCCAAACAACGCACATAACCAACTTCTTAAAGGGAGATGCCAGCGTAAGGCCAGGATACGGGTACCTATACGAGCTATTATTAGAATTGGTACTGAGAGCAAGGCTGACGCAAGCTTACCATCCAACAATCGAAAAACAATATTCGATCCAACCCCAATAAGAAAAGGCGATGGCGAGATCTAAGACAAAAGCCGCGCGTCCATTGATTGGCCATGGTGGGCTCAAGATCAGCTGATCGGCCAGCAACATGATAGTAGGGACAGCATGGAGGCCAAGATCATGGCTGAGCGGGAGCTGGTGGCCGGGAGGAGTCAACTTGGTCCTGTCAATGAAATATAAAGTCCAGTAGAATATCGTAATGAGAAGCTCAACAGGCGTGGCGCATAGTGACATGTAGCTCTTAGCTACGAATAGAGGCTTCACATTGAGTACGTCGGCGAGGAAGCCGATCACGAATGTTATTGTTGATAGGAGGAGGGCGATGATGGTAAGAAACTTATACGGCCCTCCAAACCCCTTGCGCAAAGGGTTTGTGCCCTTAGGGACCTGGGAAAATGACAATGCGAAAAGCAGCAAGCCTATCGCATGGATGATTATTGACAACACCCTAGAGCGTGCCACGGGCCTCTGTGAAGCCGACTTCATTGCTGATGAACTGTGTGGTGTGAGAGCAATAGGCGCGAAGTGTATTACCGGGTGAGGTTCGATGGCTGCGGATGGAAGAGCTGCGAAACCGAAGGAATATGTCTACCCCTGTTACTGGGACCTGATTTCTCAGGCCAGACCAACCCGCATTGTTTACCAAATAGTAAGCTGATTGTGATTGCACGTGCGTCGTGATAAAGTATTGATGTCGCATAGCCCAACAAACAAGTGGGCGGTTGGTCATCTAGCGGGGCTTGTTATGTACATAGGCAGCCAATATACTCCTCCGCTTCTCTACTATTAGAGAGCCTTAAATGGGCGTCCATGAATATCTCGTATGAATAACACCAGACCTTAGGCAGTGTCACATTATGTACCCTGGCTTCAAGTCAAGACCTAAGATCTAAAATGCAATAAAGTGTTTCCTCCGTAGATAGTAGGCAGTTTGAGATCGAAGGCTGATGTCCTGAATAAGGTTTTATAAGTGTAGTCAATGTCCCATCCTTCACGAAGTTCCACTGCCGGAACTCTTAACTGCAATTTTTGGGGGACTCAGTCCACTGCCTCAAGATATCAATACATAGCAACATGCGTGGAATATATAACACCGTTGCGAGTATTATTGCACTGCCAGGAGAGTGATGCTAGAAAGAGAAAGCAGTAGAAAGGGATAGGAAACTAGCCGCATATTCGGGTTCATGAAGTAAATTTTAATAATCCCAGGAACCAAAATTCATTTGTAACTACCTATACTCTTGTCAATCTCAGATATTCCAACTCCATCATTGTCTCAGGTACAGTCTGTTATTGACAGACCAAGCATATGATGGAATCAACCACGCTTATTATTAAACAAAATTCCGACAAAAAAACCACCAGTCAAGAAAGAAGAAAGAAGAAAGAAAGAAAATTCCAAAGGATGCATCAAGACAACAAGTCCACTCATCATATCTGAATCATAGATACGGTTCGAGGATGTTCTGGGTATGGGCCCAAACCTTTGACTGGGCATTCTCTCGGAGCCTAGCTATGTTTTTTGTATTTGGCGTGCAATCACCCTTGTAGTTAACCAAAAACAACCCGCCATCCGGTTTCTGCAACGTGCTCAGACCAGGCTTCCCTTTCCAGGGCACACCACGGCCACCAAAGGCAGCGCTCGTGCACTGGAAAAGGTTCCGCTGGGCAGAATCCTCGTCTCTCATCGAGAAGGTCCTGATGAGAGGCTCCAAGACGAGCCAGATGAGCCAACCCGTCCACGAATTCGGATCAACGTTTCCTCTTCGCACATTTCCCGTGTCGACCCATCCAGGCCAGGTGTGCATGAATGTCACATCGGGGTACTCGTTGGCTAGCCAGTCGAGACCAACAGAATTCAGATGGCCGTACTGTACTTGGCCTCTCGCCGAGCTGAAACTGCCTGGCTTCTTGAGATCTATGTCATCTGTATTGACAGAAAACCTCTCTAATCCGCCGCCCAGGACGGAAATGACCCTGGGGCTCTCCGATTTTTGGAGCAAGGGCAGCAGGTGAAGAATAAAGAGAATGCGTGTGTAATATTCCAGGCTTTGGCAAATCTCTAGGCCTTCGGAAGTCTCCTCGCGCGTTCCTAATGGAGCATAGCCAGTGGAGAGGAACAGGAGGTCAATGGACGATTCCTTCTCCTTGATGATCTCGCATACTCGCTTGCTTTCGGCGAGCAGCGAGACTTCACCCTCAACCCAGATGAACTCAGCCTTGGGATTAATGGCGTTCAGCTCCTGGGTGAAGGTCTTGGTTCGCTCTTCGGAACTCTTGCGACCGACAATGTAGATCTTCACACTGGCGCCCGTTTCAACAAGAGCTTTGATGGTGAGCTTCCCGACGCCTGAGGTGCCGCCCACCCAGACAGAGACGCGAGGGGCCGTGGCATCGTTGATCAAGGCGTTGGCAGCCCTGATTTCTTTAAGGGAAGGCATTGTGTGGAGATGTGGCAGTGTTGCTTGAAGTGGGAACTTAATAACTGATTTCCTCCTTAAGAGGTATAGTAAAATGATGATGGGCTGCTAGAGGGGATCAATTCAGATGTCGCAACGAGGGAAACCCAATATAAGGCGACTTTTCTGGTGCGGAGTTTGGCGGAATTCCACGCTAAATGGAATGTAGCCGCCATTGCGGGATGGATTTGGACAAGATACGACACTATTTGCGGAGGACGCGCAGGGATTTTTCAGGCGGCCAATACCTCGTAATCTAGTTAATGCTATGTGTTAGAAGGCTTCAGCGAGCTGACGAGTTTACTTGCTAGGCACACAACTCACATAAATATGTAAGAGGTGTTGCGTATTGGCTCTGCCTTCACAGCAGGATTCAGGCAGCAAGTCGGTGATGTAAGTTATCCAAGATTGGCATCAACGTAGGAGCTCGAGGCAAATGAAGGAATGAAGAGCCCAACCAAGTCGAAACGGACTAATGGATCACTCCTGCTCAGTGTAGTACCATGCGATATGCTTTCTCCCAGTCCTGGATAGAATATGCGGCGAGCTGTAGGAGGTGATAGTAGAAAGCCGCTATCAAATTAGATAGGAAATACTACTCATATATATCATCTATCATTCTTATACACACACTCTCTCAGATCAACTCTCGTTCTCATCTCCCTCTTCGTGCAGTCTTTGGCGGATTTGTCGAAGTTTTTACATTCAAATGACAACTAGCTCACCAGACCTATTATCTCCATCATCTTCTGAAGGTCCTGAAAGATAAGTTTTTAGCCTCAGTGTGAAGGGTGGTCAATCGATACCGGTTAATTGAGCTGAGGGGGGTTTCGATGCCAATTCTTTGATGCAAACTTCGATTTTCTCTTAGCTCATTCAACTCGACTAGGAGGTCGCCCTACACGGGTTGTGTTGGCCCGTTCGGGCTAGGCCTATCTCTTGGAGCTGGTTCAACGTGTTGGCTAACTAGGCAAAGAGGAGTTGATGACGGGTTGAAACAGAAGACACTGAATACGCTAGCTGTAAATATTGCAGAAGGTCATTCGTTTCATTGAGACTGGTATCTGAAGGTTGGTTAGGTCCGAGAGTTTGCTCTGAAGGTTGCGCAGTAGATGGAGGATTGTTTCAACGGCGAAATATCATAATATGTTGTTTGGGTATGTATTGACTAACACTAGAGAGTTGGTCGAACCACTGACTGAAGATGGACGCCTATGTATGGATTGGATAGTTCCCCTAACAAAATTATGACCATAGATGACTCCATTTCCCCAACTGGGTGGACCTTTTCGGCTGTTAATAATTATATTGTTTATCATTAGCTTTGCTGAATACTACACAAGAGGCCATGCTATTAAGTTATGCAGCAATAAACAACCCTGTGCTAATCTGCTTTGATTCTTGCGATGATAGGCCGCTATGATTCAAAGCTAGAAGAAGGAATAGATCAACCTTGCTTATAATTGTACGGGGAAAACTCATACTCCTACATATCAGGCTGCTGGGAGTTTTAGGTTTTTTTTTAGACTCCCGAGGAGTTGAGTTGCTTTGCGCTTAACAGAGGTATCCACGGGGGAAATAAGTCAATGGCTTCTGAACGCTTAGGTTTCTTCCCAGGTGGAGGGAGATACAGCTCAAGTCTGGATATGGTCAAGCAAAAAAAAAAATTGGTAAAGGAGCGAGAAAGGGGAAAGTCTTCTGTTCCAAATGACTCGTGTCAAGGCAACTATCCAGGCGTTTCCAATGAGGAAGCTAGTGTTCGACCATCTTTGGGCAGCTCAAAAATTGGAGAGCTCAATTGAAATAAATCCCTCGTGGACGTTTACAAGTTCTAGCTACGAAAGTTCCCCGTCCATACAAAACGAGCACCTGGTGAGGTTCCCCGCGTTTGTTGGTGCTCCGCTAACTCCGTCCGCCTTGGCTTCGAAATGGCTCAACCCAACAACAATTATCAGCTCGTCCCGAAGAATGGTTGGATTTGCCAAACACATTGAGTCGTGTGAAGGGCATAAAGACATAAGGCAGCAAGAAGGGGTGTTTGGAAATAGTAGTTGGGAGGGTAAGCATGTACGCTCTCAAAGGATAGTCTTTGTCACGGTGTTTAAGAACACGCTCCCGTGAGCCGAGATACGGCCCGGGTGAGAACTGAAAAGGACTATTGGACTTCCAGCGCTAATTTCCAAGCCACTCGGCGATATACCCAACCTCGGAGAAAGGACCCATTAAGGGCTGGATGCAGGAGCACGAATTGTTCTCAGCTCGTTGGTATCCACATTCTGAGCGTTGCATTTGGTGATGGATAGCAACAGGAGAGCTTACGTTGGGGTGTAGTCCAATACACGGAGCGGAAGCGAGACTAGCAGGGCAGGGAACAAGGAAGGGTGCATATTTGACAACGGGCGAAACAGTCGCACTGGGAGGAAATTGCACAGCCGCCCCCAAGGATTGCATCTCGGGAGCAGATGGGCCATGTACGATCTGCCCCCTGCCGGCCGCCTCACGCTATTTGACCTCTCCCTCCCTTACAGTGAACTCGTGAATTGCCAGACGGGGACTTGGCCGAGAGTCGCCGAGTGGTTTTTAGCGCCGAGGCACGTTTCTATCGCTTATGAGCTTGTTCATCCATGCATGCAAGTCATGGCATGGCATCATTAGCATGGGAGAGGGTAGGGTAGGGTTGTTTGCAGGGACGGGAGTTTGTTGGCTCGCCAGATGCAACGTCAGAACACATAACACTCATTGGCCTCCTGGAAAGGGCGGTAGGGATCGGGACAGAGCCAAGTGTGATTCGGTTTGGACCAACCATCATGTGATAGGACAGGTAAGCAGCCAGAGTGGAGGAGGAGATAATGGATGGGGCCGGAGACGGGACACAGACCAACCATCCTTATTGCATGCCGCCTACTTGGTCGACGTACATATCCAGCATGTAGATATTACTCGCAAGTTCTTGCCTATCCACTGTCCGGCTGGATGACGCGAAGCAATTGGGCAGAGCCGTTCCGCGTGCTTGATGAAAAATCTCCTAGTCCACTGGGCAGCAGGGCTAATGGGATGCGGACCCGGCCACTCTAGGAGAGGACACGACAAGGAGGGAAACATGGCGAGGGGAGGGGGGAAACGTGGAAGACGGGGCACGAGGCTGGGGGCCTGCCAGGATGCCTCTCCTAGTTGCTGCTCGGCCAAGTCTCTAGTAGGCAATAAATAAGGTATGTGAGATGCTTTTCGGTTGAATACAGCGGTGGCCGGATGCACGCTGCGCGCTCGCGTCACCTCAACCACCCTGACGAGACATGGGAGCATCTGGAAGCATGCGAGGCATCAAGAGCCCGTTGGTCGAAGGAATACGAGGATGAGGAAGGGGACTGCGTCAAACACCACAAGGGTGCCTGCTGGGCTCTGTCCTTACGCCCGCCGGTCCTACTTTGCATGTCCATACGCCCATCTGCGTCATGCCATCTCGGAGTCGGATGCGTCGTCTTCCCGTCAAGTCGACAATGGTGATGGATCGAGGATGCGGGCGGGAGTGTTTTGGCTTCTGCAGCAGGGCGAGAGCGGTGCTGATTAATTGGGGGGAGGTGCACTATTTCGTGACGGCACGGCGCAAGCACCCACTGGCCATGCGACCTTAGTGCATGTGCCGCAGCGTGGCACCCCTGTAGCCCGCAGGTTCTCACCTCCCGTGGCCCCTGTACAGGCAGCCTGGCAGGTGGTCTGCGCTGTAACTGTGGCCTGTAGCCGCAGGTTGGAGGGGCCGCCTGGCAACTAGCGGCAGGACCCTGGTGCGGACTTCGGGGTGATTGACCTTTCTGCAGCACCGCCATTGGCCCAGCCCAACGACGGGCGACGAAAAGGCCGTGGCCCCCAATCTCCCTCCCCACACCACGCCATACAGCGCTGCACCACAGCGCATCGCAGCACCAACCACAGCGCCCGCCTCCACTGAAATCCAGCGGGCTGCAGCCCGTCAGTGCCTGCAACCAGCATCCGTCACACTCATCCCATCCCACGCCCTCGCCTCGTGGCACGCTTCCCCTCTTCTCTTCCCTCTTCTCTTCCCTCTTCCCTCCGTCCATCACGATCAGTCTCTGATCTTGCAGAGCTGTTGGTGGTCTTCGTACACTTGTCCTGATTTGTACAGATCACGCATGGCCCGCGTCGTCCAAAAAAGGGCCAGAGGAGAATCACCAACGTTTAATTAGTCTAGGTCGTATTTCCTCCCACCCAATGCACCTAGCCGGGCCTGGCAGGGGTGGATGGGGATGAGGTGAAGGGGACGGACCCGTCGAAAAAATCAGCTATCAACTACTAATTAGCTGGGGTGCTTTCTGTTTAGGTGTTGGTGATGCGGGACGAAACAATATCAGAGATCGCCTGTCCGCCTCATCTCATCTGCGGCCTCATTCCCTCCCCACTGTCGTTTCAAAGGGGGCCGGCAACGACTCACGAGCCATCGTCCTGCCTTGTGTATGTTGCATTTCTTGTTCTGTTGAACGGGACCTGATCTGCGCTGCGAGCGCCTGTTGGTTTCGGAAAATCGAGTAGCCTACGTTATCCGTTTTGGGTTACCTTGTTTATTCCCTTTTCTTCAGCTTCTTTTCCCTTTTCTTTAGCGCATTCCGCTGGTACATAACGATTGACAGCACCGGCCCGAGTGACGGATCCAGCCAAGCTGAAAAATCACGACAGCTTCGCTCGCTTTTTGTGCGGGCTCTGAAGGAGAGGAAGTGCGGACGGCATATCGTGTCCCGGAAATTAATGTCCTACCATATCTTCACTCCCAGTTGCGACTAGTAGAATGTCGCCGTCAATAATGACCACAAAGGGGGGGAAGGAGCCTGAGTCAGGATCTACATCAGAGGCCAAAGGGTCGCATCACAAGGCTGATGAACCAGAGGACGATGATGATGACAATAGCTTGGATGAGACCCTCTCCAACTTCTCGTCGGTCTCGGAGGATTCATTACCACCGATCCACGCCTTCGGCTTCACATACCACGGCTCCGGCCGCATCCTCTGGCCCAATGATGAAGCCGGTGGTAGGGTGATGGACCTGCAGCACAACCTGTGGAAGAGCTGCCTGGGCGGCAATCTCACCGACACACGGCTCCCCATCGAGAAACCCAATTTTGCCGAGCCCAGTTTCCACATTCTCGATGTGGGCACCGGGACCGGCATCTGGGCCATTGAGATGGCACTCCGCTACCCCCAGGCCACCATCCTCGGCATGGACATCAGCAGCAGCCTGCTCCCGAAAGACGTGCCCTCCAATCTGACATTCGAAGTCGCCGACATCACTGAGGAGCCCTGGCCCCCACGCCTCTACGACTTCATTCACATGCGCAACATCTGCCAGGGTGGTATCCGCGACTGGCAAGCGCTGATCACGAACGCCTACAACCACCTGCGGCCCGGAGGCCACCTCGAGTTCACCCTCTACAAGCCTCGCTTCTTCGGCGTCGACCCTGCACAGACTGACCTGCCGTCGGGGGAGCTCGCTGAGATCGGGCCTGCCTGCCGGCTCTATGAGACCCTCCTCACCACGATGACGGAAGCCCTGGGGCTCGACTACGACCCCATGTCCCGCATCGTCGGGTGGCTGGGCGACCTCGGCGGCGAGAACATCCGTGAGCGCACGTATTGGGTGCCTCTCCACAGTCCTCGGGATGTGGTCATGCGCGAGAGGAGCGAGCTCATGCGTCAGGTTTTCCTGTACGGCATGGACCAGTTCAATCTCATGCTCTTCGACCGAAATGGCTGGAGCGAGTCCGATACGAGGGACTTGATAGACCAGGTGAATAAGGAGGTCCAGGACCCGAAGCTTCGAAGCTCCGTCAGATTGTATGTTCTTGAAATGCCCGTTGCCCCTGTTTTTGTTTTCTTCTCACTAATGATTGTTCAGGGCGTTTATTACAGCAAAGAAACCGCTGGTACCTCGGTCAGCGGCAGGCTCTTCAGATGATTAGAGGACCTCATAGCTCACTCTGGCTATTTTCTCCCACGGCTAGACCTTCTGCCCTGGCTGGGTTGCTTCGAATCGAAGCAGGTCTGTTGTGTCCAGAGGGGACCGCACCAAAGGCAGTAGATCAACCATGGTTTTCTTCATAGGCTACGGCGCCAAGCGTCGTAGCCGATGGTAGTATCCGGTCCTGAGCAAGGGTTATCAAGTGACACCTATGCCACAGCCGGTCATGGTAATTAATCTCGCGAGTACACTTAGAAGTCGACGACGGTCGGCCTCCTATTTCACGGGAAGAAAAGGGGAACCTTGTAGGATGGTCCGTGGTTGAACATGGTGGACAGGACCAGAAGGAGCGCCCGGATAGAGTATTACAGTAATCACGCGAAATTGAGGGCAACCTATAATTTCAGGCATGGAGAACAGCACATTTTCTTATCTAAGGAGGTCGCAAGCCCACATTCCTAGAGCTGGAAAACGCAAGTACATGGCTGGTTGCCTTGTTCCCTAGATGGCTGGACGCAAAAAGGATAGGACGGACGGGTTTCGGGTTTTCATTTACACAGCATCAGCGTAGCAATTCAGAATCATCTTTTCGATTATCATAGCCGTCCACATTCGTTAGCTTAACCAGAGCCGGATATACCTTGAGCAACGCCAAGTTCCAAGATATCGCTGCATCTATTCCTTCATCATTGCTTGGATAGGTTCGAACTCGCTCGGTACCTATATAGCATTATAGGCTGTCACTATCGGTTTGTCAATCACAGTTTAGCCCTCATCCGTAAACTTGAAAGTCATGATTTTACTTGATGTACTTTGTTTGGAAATATAATTGATATTCCTTTTTAATCTTTCCCGGCCTTTCCGGCAGACTTTCGCTCGAAAAGTGCCTGTCGTCCCTTCTTACCCCTTGGCCGTCTCACATGCTCTTCTCCACGCACGTTCTTCTCGCTCAGCTTCACTGAGTCAAGCACAGCCCTCTCATATCTCGTTAGCGATCCAGTATCACGGCGGCCAACGAGCGAGTCCACCGGGGTGACATTGTAAGGAGGGTTGGGCTGATTGGTAAGGACGTTGTACGTGGCGTTGGCCGGGATGACCTGGCTAGTGACCGTCTTGTTACCGTTGAGGAACGTAGAGTCCACAGGCCCTTCGGTGATGTAGTCCTTCGTCACGACCGTCGTCCCCGTGGCGATGTCCAGGCCGTGGATGGTCCTGTTCAGCATCTCGAGGGAGACGAGCGGCTGGTAGAACGGTACCTCGTGGCCCGACTCGTAGATCCGGACGAACGAGAAGCTCCCTGTGCTCTTGACCTCACCGTGGACAACGCCATCAGACGAAGTAATGTTCACGAACCCGGCAGATCCATCGGTGTACGCCGGGATGTTCGAGAGGGTCTCGACAAAGGCCTCGCCGCCGAACCAGTTGCAGATGTAGTCCGCGTCACCGAAATAGACTACCACCGGGATGTTCTCGTTGATTAGGTACTCGACAGCAGCGCGGACGCCAATCTCACGACCGTCATCACCGGTGGCCCCAAACGCCTTGCCGGCGACAGAAGAGCTCTCGCTAAAGTTCGTGTACGCGCCAATGGCGGCCTGGACCGTCTCGGTGTTCAAGTAATCGACATAGAAGGCGTACGGGAAAGGATCCGGCGTCAGGTAGCGGACGTCGTACTCGTCGCGGCCAAAGACATCGTCAAAGGGATACTCTACTTGAGAGTAACACCAGTCGTCCGCCGCACTGCACACTGTGTTGCCCTCTCCGTCGGAGGTGTAGTTTGCGTAAGGGTACGCGTTGCATTCGAGGAGCATGTCGAGACAGTTGCCCTCTCCGTACATGCTGTTGTAGACCCTGTCATCTGCCGTCTGGTTGTAGTTGATCCCATAGGGGCTGCCTCCCTGGTGGCGCTGCTTGCTGATGCTAGAGGAGAAGTTGTAGAAGCTGGCGTATTGGAGGATAGGGTCAAACCAGCCGTTGCCGATGAGCACACCCTTGAGGTCGATGTGTGCCGTGCCCGAGTTGTTTAGCTTGTTCTGCTCCACGATGTAGCGGCTGAAGATTGGCGCATAGTGGCCGCCGTAACTCTCTGTGGAGAAGTAGACCCCGTTTGAAGAGTACTGTGGGAAAGCACCGGTGAAGGCCTGCAGAGTCTTGTAGAAGTTGGGTGCTGCAGCGGGCGTGGAATTGGCCGTCAGCGTGGTGTCGAACACGTTGTAGGTGCCGCAAGTCGAGGGGTCCGCATAATCAGGGCAAGTTGCATTCGGGAGTCTAACGAGATCTCCAGAGTTGGAATCTTTGTATCCAGAGACGGGGATTGAGTAGGAGAAGCCGGTGGTCGTGGGCTGGTCAATATAGATCATGTTGGTCACGTTGTTCCATGCGTACGGGTTGTCATACAAACTGCCGTCAAAGTCGATGCCGCATGGGCCCATCTCCTGCCAGAGACCGATCATGGACGAGCTACCAGGTCCGCCATTAATCCAAATGGTGAGGGGAGCGGTCTCGGGGTCGACATCTCGGGCCTCAAAGAACCAGAAGAAAATGTGCTCGTTCTCGGCCACATCAGCATAGCCACTGAAGCTCTTCACGCCGGGAGTTTGCTCGCAAATACCAGTCGGTACCTCCTTGTACCTAACATCAATGCCGGCATGACCCTTCTTGGTCGTGAAGCCTGTGGGCTCGGCGACGAATTGAGCAGCTGCCAGCTCAGCAATTGAAAGCAATAACGCAAAGAGCATGGCGATTGGCTGATTTGGCTGAACGAGGACAAAAGACACCTCAATTGGCCTGAAAAAAAAAAAAACATTGCAAAGGTCCAGGAGGAGAGAGGTTAAATACTCGTGCCTTGCAGCTAATTGTCTGCATACCTACCTGCGGCTTACATGGGTCTTATGCTGTTATCTGTAAGAATTCTGGGGTACAAGCACGGATGATATCTTTTAGGAAGGCCAGTCAGTGTAGTCAAACCGACTCGGTGAACCATCAAATTCAATCAAGTGCTTCTCATTCAACATCAAGAACCTAGCGATGCTGTATGCGCTCTTACTGTTTACTACCTGCCGGTTCTCCATGCCATCTCCTACTTTTTAAGCTTCAACAGTAGCATTATTGATCGCTTGAGCCATGTCTTCCCCTGCCTGAGAGGTAGATAAGGTGAGCTGGGGCCATGTCCCAGTTGCCCAGTTACTAGCGGATGCAACATCTACTCGGCATAATCGGCATCACACAAATGCAGGTCGGATACTCTTTAAGCAATGACACACAGGCACTTTTGACAAGACCACATCGTTGCTCTCATCTTATTGGGCCAACACCGGGTCTCCCCGCTCCTCAACGTCACCTCTGTTCGAGACCGTGTAAGTTTATCACAGGATCAGTCCATGATTGACGTCCTACCATGGATGGGCCATGCGGTTGGTTCTCAAGTGTCGGTACGTCCCAACCATCTTGCAATTGGCTCGCATGGAGACAGCTAATAGCTTAAATCAAGTAAGCTGGCAAGTGGGTGACATGGAAATTGAGACACTCAAACATTAAGCTGCATATTCTCAAGTCTGCGAGCGGTATTATCAGATTATTGAGTCCTAATAATACATAATACCGTATTTATTGTTACTTTCTTCTATTTTTATACTACTGAAATTCTCTATTCATTGCAGAAAGTAGTCGATCAATAACTAACTCTTCCCTTAGGTGTCTCATTTCTCCTGTCACCCACTTGGCTGGATATCAACGAAATATCGAGAAAACTTTGTCAAAGGTAGAAAAAAATGGTGGAAGTGTGCACATATGCCGGTTTAAATTGAAGCATGCCAGACATATGAAATTCTATATCAGAGGCTGACACCCGGAATTCAATAAAACTTGCTGCACTACAATCCAATCCCGCCTCGGGAGGGAATCAGAACTGTATCTGGATTAAGGTTGAAGAGCCGTTACCGACTAGAGGAAACTGTCACCTTACATACCGGCAGTTACCAACAACTTACCTAATCTTATTATAAGGCTGATTGCTATATAAATAAAATGGAAATTAGAAAACAGAAGAACGCGCAATCCTGAAATTGGATCGGGGACCTCAGGCGAATGACAACCCCTGCAAGGCTGTCAACGTCGGCGACCTGAACTCTCCAGTCAACCTCGTCTCCACTGCTTCCTTGAACACGATGCTCCATAAGAGAGGAAACGCAAGAGAACAATACGCAGTCATTGGATGGTAACAAATTAAGTCCTGTTTCAGCAATGCTTCATTTCTTCCGCGCATGCTTCGGGGAACGGCGGACGCAACATGGAGGCAGAGTGCCGCTGTATAAGAAGCCATTATATAGCTACGTCTCCATGAAGGGAATTCCATTCTCAAAAAACCAACTTCTGTGTTTTCTCCAATTACTCTACCTTAATCCCGTCCATAAAATACATCCAAAATGGATTTCCTGAAGAACAAAATCATCAAATTCGCCCCACCTCTAAAACCACTTCCTACATTTGAAAAGGTCATCAAATTCAACTGGAACCCCACCGGCTTGACTGTTCCCGGTGACACTGAGTTGTCATATGAGGTCGTGGACGACAGAAACCTCTTCGGGGACTCTGCATACACCGTCATCTCGCGGACGCCCCGCAGCAACGGGGATATCGTGGGCAAGTTCGACTGGTCAAAGATGACAGCGAAACTCGAGATAGAGTTTCCTTTAACATCACGAGAGCTCAAATATCAGGCTCTGAATGGGCACTTTGATGCAACTGACATCGGACGCCTCGAGTGGAGAATCACGGACATGGACTGGAAGCATGCCACATGGCGGCTATTGGACGAAGACGGCGAACCTGTGGCCTTGGTCGACCTGCACAAATCTGGCGCACTGGGGACGATTGAGATAGTTAGGATGGGCTTACCCCGAGCTGCATTCGAAGAAGTGCTGGTGTGCTCGATAGCACAGATCGAAGATCACTTGAGGATGATGAGGCACTCGAAGAACGCGGCCCTCATGACCGTGGCGGGCAATACCGTGGCCGTGGCCGGAATCAATTCTCTCCCCTACTAAGCGGATATGATTACAAGTATCATTTTCTTTTGTACTCATTGCATCTTTGGATGAATCCATCTACAATTTACTTTCCATAGCTGAAACATTCCAACCACTTAATCGCAGCCTTGTGGTTATCGGTACAATTGCAGGTGTGTTCAATCGTTGAACATGGGCTTCAGGAGGGTTCTAGATTTAAAGATAAACGGTACCAGTTTCGAAATACGAAATCGAGTTCAACAAATGCTTGATATCAAGCCTCTTATCTCCGAAAGCAGCAAAGCTAAAGTTCTACGAGACAAAATCCGATAAAAAGAAGTGTCTCTATTATCTAAAGTGAAAACAAATCATGAAGGTTATCTCCAGAATTGTGGCTCCTTGGCCGGCATGACTTCTTTGCTGAAGTCTAATGCCTCTGCTTCTTTCTTTCTATTGTTGTTAGTAAAAATAAAAGGTTTCAATCCAACACAATATTGTGAGCATTTAAATGCTATACACAACATTCAACCACAGTTCGTAGAAGGGTAGAAGCCTTCCGCAGCCACAAATTCAAGGTTAATACCTACTGCTCAGCAATAGAGCCAGTAATGAAGCCAGCCATAATGAAGTTTAATAGCGAAAAAGCTAAAGCAAGCACTAAGGTTCCTTCGCCGGCATGACCCCTTTGCTGAACTCTGATGCCTCTTCTTCCTTTTCATTTAAAGGCTCCCTTTTCCCAATCGAGAGCTTTTGGACATACCTGGCTGGCCGAACCACAGACAACAAAATATCTACAACAACAAAAATATCAACATCTTCGGCTGGCTGGCCTGCGCTAACTTGATCAACATCACTTGTCGCTATGGCTTCAAAGCGCAAGAAGTCACAACCGGGAAACCCTTCCAAGAGGATCAAACGTGGGCGCTCGCGGAAACTGACCTTTGCTCATCTACCAAAAGAAATCCGCGATTATATTTGGGAGCTGGCCATTGAAAACCGGGAAGCTCTACCTGAAGCACACTTCTTCTCGGCTGCTACTGGAACTGTCTCAAGCTATCAATCAAGAAAGATACGACCAGCTCGTAATGCTTGGACCCATGTCCACACTCAGCTTATTCCTATTGGTTTCAATAACTATACAAAGGCCCCGTGCTGGTGGGAACCCTCCGAATTCAAGTGGGCAGATTGGATGACACCAGAAAATGATTCAGCATACCTGCTTACCGGCCACCTATGGAATATCTGTATTGAATCACGCCAGGCTGTGATCCGTCACAGGAGAAGAATACATGGTCCCAATTTCAAATACAAGAGTATAAACAATTGGGTCTATATTCGAGATAAATGCGCATTTTATCTGACAATGCGCCCTGAGGAAGATCTTCTTTTCTTAGATACTCAGAATATTTCATTATTCCAACGGAATATCAGAGCACGCCATCCTAGGAACTTGGGCATTATTGCAGACCCTGACAGGTGGGGAACAACCTTTCCATATGATATAATACATGGGTGTGACGAACTTTGGGAGCTCCTGAGTTGGTGTTCACGTGGGGACAACACAAATATCATTTGGTTGGTTGACCCCCGGCTTGAACCAACAGCATGGTGTCATCTGGCGACGATGGTTGCAACTCGAAAGGTGTTTAGAGGCCGATATCATCTATATATTGAAGTTGTTTATGATGATGCTAAGAAGGACTTTTGGCGAATAGGAACCGAAGGGGCAAGGGGTAATGGAACTCGGATACTTAAAATTTGCCACGACCTGTTGCTCAATGTGTGGCGGTTCAAGAACAGCGTGCGCAACACCCCAACATTTAAGGCCCTGGCTCGCGTCCCACATGAGAAATATTGGCTGAAAAACTTCTGATAAGGCTACTAGGGTTGCAGGCAGTAGGTATTAATCAGAAGGTTATTTAGGGAGCAATATAGGTAGCTATTAGCTAGACCTATCAGCTATGTCTTCCTTCGTTGGACAGCTAAATCGCGCTCTCACCATGAGCCTGTCGAGTATTCTCTTCTACAATAGACTATTTTGAGAGGCACGAGCAGCAGCGGATAGAAGCTGAGCACCAATGTGACCGTACGGATCCGTCACATCGTCTTAGTCTGGACCAATTCTCAAGCCGGTGCCATTGTACCACTTTACGCAAACCATCTCGCGGAGCTCCCACTCGTACCGCAAACATCATATTCGAACGCACTGACTGTAATACCTCCGCCGTGTATATACACAAGCCGGTGGGATACAGTAGTTTCCCGTATGACAATTCAGGGGTGCAGGAATATTGGGCTAGAGAGCCGATGAGGTCGCTGATCCTGGCCCAAATTACCAAGCAGCCTATTTCACCAAGGGAAAAGTGAGACGAGACTTCCAAGATGGCATAGTGGGCACACGTACCAGTCATTCTAAGTCAGTAGATATGCCGTGATGATCCAGCTACTACGAGTGTAAATCGACTCTAAAGCTTTACTGACGATACGTAAGAGAAAGAGAATAAAGTTCAACATTCAACAGCAATGGAAGCTACCAGAGCCCGACAACTCAACACAATGAATACGAAAACCTAAAAAAGAGCCATTGCTAGCCCAAGGCTGTGGTCGCACGGAAAGAAAAGTCTGCAAACCTTCATGCCGACGACTCACTTGCCGTCAGGCGCTTTACTGACAATAGTCACCTCAAAGTTGACAAGAAAAAGACCCAGACAGAGGCTGGAAATGTCAGCGGCATATTTCACAAAATGCTAGGAATACCTGCCGTTATCGGGTGAAGTCACCAGCCGGTGATATGGGTTAGGCCACCAGCATTAGGCCCAGTAGCCACAGCGGTGACCTGCTGTTCATATTGAGGAAAAAGGCAATGGGTTCATTGCTGGCTGAGTTGGAGCCCTGTTCGTCATTCGATGGCCTTGGAGACACGATATAAATGAGAAAATCGCAGAGCTTGTCGGGTTCCGAGTACCGAATGTGTTGCAGCATAGTCCGTTTATTCGAGCCCAGAACCTGCATCTCCCAGCCTTCTTATCCCAGGCGGGAAATATCTAATTTATTACTCTTGATACCGATATACAGATGATGGTTTACAGGCCATAAACTAACTCCTTTCTAAACAAGCAAATAAATTAGACCCCCAGTTCCTCCTTACAATTGTATTTGGAATCTTGCTCGTATCCTTGCTCCGTACTTCCAGAAGAAAAGGGGCGCTGGCGCTAGGATGAGGCATAAAAATCCAAGCAGACTGTTTCCCCAGCCATATCCAAGTTTGCTGTACATAGATAACCCAGCCATAGGCAGGAATGCGCCGACGATGGAGCGGAACACAGTGAGCGCAGCGATGACAGACGCCGCGTACTGGATGTAGCAGTCGATGAGATAGATCTGCACCGTCATCTAGACATTCCCATCGTTAGTATTCCGGAAAATTAAAGCACAGAGGGTAAGAAGGAATGCTTACCATGACACCCATCAATCCAAAGCAAAAGACAGCGACGGCAATCATCGGGCATATCCAGTGTACCTTCTGTTGAACCGACCAGCCGTACCAGAAGAGGGAGACGGTGGTTGTGACACCAGCCAAGACAATCATGTAAATCGCCAGACGGTCCTCTGGCACCGGTGTTTCGCCTTTCTTTTGCCTCTTCTTCACCTCCATATCCGTTAAGGCGCCAAAGAGAACCATGCCAATGATACACCCTATACCGGTCGGGATATATGACAATCCCACGGTTCCCGTGGAAAATCCGTACTGGTTGGCTCCGAAAACAAAAGTTAAGGTGCTAATCATCAGGTACAAGATGCCGTAGATAACAGCCACGTAAAGCGACATGAGGCTCACGGATGGAAGCATGAAGAGGATCTTGAGAGGTCGGATGATGGCCAGCTTGAGCTTCATCTTTTCCGTCGTAGTCTGGTCCTCAAGGGCGTTGTAAAGGTCCGGGTTTCCGGTTTCCTTGCGTAGTTTGCGGACCTTGTTGCCGACCAGTTTGGGATGGTATGTTTCGTTTACCAAGAAGAGACCAGCCAACGAGATCGCGCCTCCCTAGGTTGATTTGTTAGATGAGCGAAGGTTAATTTGGAAATCCAATTGTACGAACCGCCATGGCCATGATCCAAAACACCCAACGCCAGTTCAAGTATTGGACGAGATACCCGCCAGCCACAGGTCCAATGCAGGGACCCAGCATCGGTCCCATTGCCCACACAGACATTGCCCTGCCACGCTTCTCGATAGGGAACATGTCGGCAATGGAGCCACTACCGTTAGTTATCGGCGTTGAGCCAGCGAACCCCATCAGAAATCGGAAAGCGATCATCATACCCATGTTCTGGCTGAGCGCTGTTCCTACTGTAAAGATAACGAAGGCGACGTTGGCGACGTTGTAGCAGATGGCGCGACCATAAATCTCACTCATCGGCGCGGCAAGTAGCGGTCCAAAGGCGAAACCAAGGACGTACACTGAGACGACGAAGGTGGCGAGAGTCTCGTCTCGCGACTTGAACTCAGCCATGATGTCTGGCACACCCGGGGCGAACATGGACGAGCCCTAAGAAAACCGTCACAATCAGCTGGAGATTCACAGGGCATACACTACGTGTTTCCCCACGGAGGGGAGAAGAACGGTACATACCAAGGGTCTAATCGCAACATTAGCTACTACTCATCCACGGCTGGAGAAATTCGGGGGAAAAGTGCCAAACAGGCGGAAGAAGACTCACGTCAAAACCGTCATAAGGGAGATCATAATCACAGTAGCCCACTTCTTGTTGTCCGGCCAGTTCATCGGGTTCGCAGGGTCGTCGGGTCCATCCCATCCTATTGCATTGGGGTCGTTCTGCACAATTGACTCGGCGGCCATAGACATCTCCGCCGCTGCGCCGGCGGCAGCTGCCTCGGCGCTCGCAATACTGATGTGTCTTCTGAGGGAGTTTTGGTCCACCCTGTCGGTGCTGTCGTCGTCGTCATCGTTGGTGCTGGTGCGCGAGGCATTGTCCTTTTCAGCGATGTCGCGCTGCGGCGCTGGGTTCTCCTCGACTTTCTCCGCCGCCGCCATGGCGATATATTATGGCTGCCCGGGAACTGATGCTATGGATGGTCGTTTGCGACTGAGTTCCTTTGTTGTGTCCTGCTCTCTTTCCTTGGCGTGAGGCTATGAGCCGAGGCACACTGATGCTAGAACGCCAATTGAAGCACCGAAAGAAAGCAAAACAGTCTGGGCAGTAATTAGCTACTCTGGTGTTGGACAAGGATCGATTCTCCCCTTTGTCTCACAAAGCAAATGAATCAACGTGTCGGACGAGAATGGTCAAGAGCGCGGTCAGCAGAAGTCATATCAGTCTTTGTGCTGGGCCGTTGGAGATAATGAAAATTAAGTCCATAAGAGACAGGCGGCAGAGAAATGAATCCAGCCCATATCCATAATTTAATTCTGATGAAGAGGTGCGACCCTCGTTTCCAGGGATATTCACCAGCTGGGCATGCAGGAAATGCGCCGACCTGCCGTTTCCCCCAACCCCGATCCCCACGCTGCCGGGTTATGCATACACAAGGACCAGGCCTTGGCTTCTGGAGCTTAGTCGATGGGGATAAAATGGGGTGATGGTTTGATTGCACAGACTTGCTGCACCTCGCTCTCGCTTTGTGGGGCCTGTTACGGCCTTTAGACCAACATGACTGGCAGTCTGACATGGTCGTTGCTCAGTTGATTGGCGCGTACGCGGGCTCCCAGGGTCCGTCGCTTCTCTGGATTCCGATTAACCGTCCTTGCATCAGGGAAACGGGAGGAAAAGCGACGGAACCCGTTGTGCCCGATACCCCGAACCCCGGTCGACCCCTCACAGGGATGGCCAGCTTTGTCCTTCTGTCTGGACTTCGAGAGACTGGGTGTCCAGGTTAAAGAGATAATAGCCGCATAGTTTATCAGGGAGGGTGGGTGGTAACTCGGTCATTGTAGTGTCCGACAAGCAAGCGAAGATCAAAACCATCGTTGACACATACGACATCAAGATCTCCGTAAGAGATGCTAGCAAAACCCATGTCAATCACTGCTGGAGGGTGGGTTGCGTGTGTTCGGAGGAAGCAACCCCGATTTCAATGACTACCTGTCTCTGCAATCTAAGATACCCGTAATATCCATCAATCACACGCTGCCAGATCTAGTTTTATATCCTGTTCACCATGTTGCAGTAACCCTTGCATCACGAGAGCTTTCTCCAACTGCAAACCGGTATTCGCCAACCTCCACCAACACCCAGTTCTGTCTCTCCACGTCCCAGTAGCTCAGGTCCCGCCTAGTCAGTGGGAATTCGACCTTCTTCGACTCCCCGACATCGAGATGTACTTTCTCAAACCCTCTCAGCACGCGAACGGGCCAAGGCAGGGTCGAATCTTTGTCAACGGGGTAAGACAGGTATAGCTGCGGCACGACTTTGCCACCAACGCTGCCAACGTTCTTCACGTCAACGCTGACTGTTACGTAAATCTCCCACAAGTCTGGGTTACCGCCCTCGCCGCCTCCAGCTTCGGACAGTGGCTGTTCAACATCGTAGCCTTCGGGGTATGGGTACGGCTCAGACTTGATGTCGTCCGCAGAGTTGATGTACGGGTAGATAAACTTCTCAAACTTGCGAATCTCCGATGGGAACAAAGCCTCCTCTACCGGTGGGATCTTGTTGTCATACTCGGGAGGCGTAGCTCCTGGGGCCGGGCGCTTGGCGGGTAAAGCTGATTTGGCCTTGTGTTGCTTCACATTGATGCCGCTGTACTCAAATGACGTGTAAGAAAGGCCAAATCCAAATTCGTATCGTGGCTCAATTCCATATCTGTCAAAGTGACGATAGTCGATAGCTGCCCCCTCGTCAAAGTTCTGCTGCGGGACTGTGCCATTGGGGTGATACATAATCTGACCGCCTGGGCCGTAATCCTTGAGAGACTTGCCGATCGTGTAGGGGAGCTTGCCGCTGGGGTTCTCGTCGCCGAAGATCAGGCTCGCAATGGCGTTTCCGCTCTCCTGTCCAGGCAGGTTGGCCGCCAGCACAGCCTTGACGCCGGAGATGTCAATCCACTTGTCCACAACGACGGGGCCGACGGAGTGGATGACAACAATGGTTGAACCGCCTCCTCCTCCGCAGTGGGTAGCCACCTCTTCTACCAGCTTGTCGCCTCCCTTTTGCAAGCTCAAGTCATTGCGGTCGCCCTCAAGCCCGTCCCATGTGAGGAAGCCTTCGCCAGCATCCGAATTGGCGAACACGATGCAGACGTCCTGCTTATCCAAGATCTCCTTATGCCCCTTGGTAACATCATTCTTGAGATACTCTGTAATCTCGGTTTTCTCTTTGTTGAAGCCCTCTCGGAGGGCTTTGACGGGCGCGACCAGGTAAGGGAATTCGACAGCACCACTTCCCCAGCCGGATCCAAGGGTGCCCTGGTTGCAGCCACGATCTTTGCAATAGTTGGGGCCTTTTCCAGGCCCAGCATCATCGCCGTAGATCCCGATGCGCAGTTTTCCTTCTGATTTAGTCTTCTTCTCGAGGCCAATCTCTCCATCACGTGTCAGAGGCAAAACGCCTTCATTCTTTAACAAGACCGTTCCCTCGATAGCAACCTGGCGAGCAACAATTGCATGGTCGCTTTGAACATTGACAAAGTGGTTTACCTTTATCTTCTCCTGGGGTGAGGGGCTCCCATTGTAGATCAAGCCCATCTCGTCATTCGTCCATGATGAGAAGTTGGGGCCCTTCCTATCAAATACGGTCTCGTCGTCCTGTCCAAGCTGATACCAAGCAGCCACAATCCTGGTCGCCATGTCATTGAGACGTTCAACAGGGACAGTGCCATTGAGTACCGCCCGAGTTAAATGGGGGCCCCAAAGCGAGTCTCCGTCCGCCCAGATCAAACCATCGCCCGGCATGGTCATGTCAAGGCCTGCAAGAGCACTTGCGACACCAGAGCGCTGAGCCAACCAATCAGACATGACGAATCCCTGGAAGCCCAGTTCATCCTTCAGAATTCCGTTCAGAAGCTTGGAATTCTCACAGGCGTACGAGTTATTGACCTGGTTATAAGAGCACATGAGGCTGGCGACACCGGCTTTGACGGCGTTACCAAATGGCCAGGCATAGATCTCATGTAATGTCCGGTCATCTATGTTGCTGGAAATGGACTCGGGCGTTCCCCATCCTGAGGGCTGGCGGAAGTGCTCCTGCTCGTTGGCAATGTAATGTTTGATCGTAGCCATGACCTTGGCATCCTGAATTCCACGCACGGTCTCTCCGGCAGCAACACCTTGGAGGTAGGGATCCGATCCGAATCCCTCCCAGTTTCGCCCGCCAGCAGGCATGCGCCCGAGAGGGCCGACTGAGGGACCGAGCAAGATGTTGCAGCCCTTCTCACGAGCCTCTGTCCCGTGCGCATTGCCTCGCCGGTACATGAGCTCTCTGTTGAAGGTAGCACCCACGGTCACACCGGCAGGGAAGGCTGTGATGTTGTCTGCAAGCCGAATACCCAGCGGGCCGTCTTGGAGGCACAGGCCAGGGAATCCGACATTGAGAGCTGGTGCGCTGTTACCGACGGCCAAACCCATCTGCCAGCCTGTCCCAGTGGTAATGTTGACCTTTTCAGGGAGAGTCATTCTGGAGACCATCTCTCCGGCCTTTCTGTAACTCTCTGCCCACTGGCTAACACTTCCGCCCTTGGGCGTTGGGTACCATGGCGGCGACTGGCCGTACAATGACTTGTCCTCTTTGTGGACTTTATGTCCCAGCAAGCCGGCGCCGATGAAAAAGAGGAGAAAACTTGCTACAAGACCAAAGGTGAGGCGAACACATGGTCGTTTGTAAAGTGGTGTGTGAGGTCTGTCAAAGGTACGGTTGGCTCGGTAGGAAACTTCGGGATACTTGTTGATGTCAATATCAGACTCCGAATCAATCGAGTCCCTTCCATCAAACAAGTCTCTTTCTTCGGACGCGAGCAGCCCCTTCCTGCTTTGGTCGTGGACGGCCATCTCAGGCCAAGCGTGCTGACCTATCCAGCTGAGCTTAGCAAATTCACAGTTCTGACACACGGGGCATTCGCTATCATCTAAGGTTTGGAGAAGGAAAGAATTAGGTCATTAAGAACTACCCAAACGCTGATGATGGAAACAATCAATCAATCACGGGGAGAGCGGGGCAGATGCAGATGGTATGGAGACGGAATGAAGGACGAACTGAAGCCATCAGCGCCATTCCCACGTCAGGGGGCGCCAAATTCAATAAGTGTGGGGGGCAACAACCACTGACGCGGCTGGGACGGCGCAACGGTCCGATGCTCCAAGAAACGGGCCTTGGTTTAACCGAAATCGTTATTCTACTCCACAGGCGTTCTGCTCCGCATCGGACCCGGACCCGGCCGCCAGCTAGAAGTTAAGAAGCGAGAGTGGGTAAACTTCGGGATGACTCTGAGCAGTGCGCCAGCAACTTGAAGCAGCATTCTCGTGGAATTTACGGACTGTATGATGTGAAATAATCCAATCATGTAGATCTTTCAAACGGGAGGCATGCCAAAATAGAATTAGTTCTTCGAAGTTTCAGATCTTACGGGGGAGAGGAATTGAGTCCCAACACGTGTTGGCTCCAAAGCAGGTACGTACCCGCCGGCAGATTCTCGGCACCACCCGATCTAAACATCTTTTGCATCACGAAAGCTTCCCCTACGCCAAGAACCAAAATCACATATCACGCTGTCAATTGTCCCCGATTGACCAAGCACAATTGCCCAGCATGTCGATGTTCCGGGCCAAGAAGCTCGATCTGGGCTGCTTCATCAAGCCTCGAACCATTCGCGACCACACCAAGCGCCTAGTCTTCGAAAAATTCGAGCCCGAGCGGTATGCTTCACCAAATCAATCTCATTAATCGTTGCGATAGAGCGCTCGAGACCGCACCCATCATCGCGTTCAAACGATATGCTTTGCTAACTGAATTGATGTTTCCTCGAATTAGTCAAGCTCTCCGCTACATCATCCGCAACACAACCCTCCCCCCTCGAGTCCGAGCCGAAGCCCAGCTGCAGTTGACGCAAATGCACTCCTACACCCGTGGCACACAGATTCGAAACAGATGCATAATGGGTGGACAAGGGCGCGGTGTTCTCCGGGATTTCAAGATGACTCGAGTACGTGGCGACTCGACAAGGCGAACGTGTGGACGAACAAGTCTGCTAACCCCCGTTATAGTTCCAGTTCCGTATGGAGGCCATGGCAGGAAACATTCCTGGTATCAAGAGAGCAAGTTGGTAATGCGGGAGGGGGTTATTTGGTTCATGGATATGAACAGGGACGAATGGATGTGCGGAAATGTATATCATGTGTACAACAATACGACGGATCTCGAAGCTTGGGCCGCAACTGTGCATCCAGCTTGGTATTTAAGTGGCAAAGCGCCCAATGTATAAAGGGAGAGGGAAACACCAAATAAAAAAAACTTGCTAATCATTCCTTAACTCTCGCAACCTCTCTCAAGGCATCAGGATACGGACAAGATGAGACGACTTTTCTACGATGAAATTGGCAAATCACCATTGCGGCAGAGCCAATCGAAACAATGTGGACACTTGAGTTTCAGCTGCGTGGTCAAGAAAATCGTGAATTGTTGCTTGATCGTTTGCAGATCCTGGTTCAAGAATCAAACAGAGCTACTTCCAGACAACACCACCACACGTTGCATTCCACCCCGTCACAGTACGCTCGTGAACTATCATCTTTGCTCTGCGGGTTATGCAAACACTTTTTGACGGCGGCTCCGATCCTGGTTTCCTCAACGGCGGTGACGTGGCGGGACGACAACCGATGGCGTATCGCTCGGATGGCACAACAAAATACACGGCATGGCGACATGGTGTAATCAGGCACTATTCCGCCAATTGAGTCGCCTGTTGCCATGCCCAGAAGCCCGAAAACCCGATCCCGTGGATCCGTGGAAAGAGATTGTGCGGAGAATGTCAGAAGCGATCCGAGACTCATCTTGGAGGATTGAAGTTTGGTCCTGAGTTCCATCAAGCTATATGGTATCAGTACCTGGAAATTGTCCATAGAAAGTGTGAGTTGCAAATACGTGGGGTGAGTGCTGCGTTCGGGGTCACCCTGTGCTTCGGCTTGGAATATTTCCCATGGGACCGTTCTTTTGCCGCATGCAAGAAGTATCCGCTGGGCGACACATAGCTCTTGGATGATCCAGACGCGTGACCAATATGGCCGGGAGAGGAAGCGCCTGAGGTTCAGTTGCAGCTCGAAATATCGCTGGTCATCTTCCCATTCATACTCGGGATTTCTTAGGGCTCTGAGTTGCCCGCGAAAGTCCTCCATAGCGACCGAACTGTCGTTGTAGTCAGGCCCAAGCCAAGCAACAACAAGAGTCGCTTTCTGGAAGATGTCGCGCATCATTCCCACCTGGTGACCTCGTTCTGATATGTCATTTTGGTTGATGCACAGCATATCAATCCACCAGTATCCCGACATGTCGTCGTGGCTTTTCTGCATCTCTCTCATCGCTTTCATAGACTCGAAGAGGTCAGAGGTGATCTTACACTGGAGGCCATTTATGAGGACTGGACATGTCCGCTCCATAGTCCCCCACGTGTATGACAAGGCTGTGTATGGTGGGAATAAGTCGTCGGTGAGTTCGCCAGTTATCATCTTACACTCTATTGTATGGTCCTCCCCATGATTTTGGAGTTCCAGAAGACGGAAGGATCGTGCTGATTCCAATGAAGAATATAACGAAACAAGTTCCCTAAACATTGAGTTGGTAAATGAATGACATAGCTCAAATTTACTGTCATCAAACAAATCATACGGCTCGCCAGTTACACTTTGTTCCTCCATTCTGGTGTGATATTAGCCTGCTGTGAGTCTCTCGATACACAACACGAGCTTGTAGCCTGAAAAAAACCCTCAAAAAAGTTGGCTGGGAAATATTTCCGTCGGTCACTCAAAAAGCAGGAATGTGATGATATATGGATGCATACAGTTTGAGGAAGGGTGACAAAAGACGACGTTGCCTTCGCTAGGTGGGAGGTGGTTAGATTAAATATATTTTGGGTGTCTGATATGCTGGGAGTTGACGAGACATAGTTTGGCGCTGTGTGGACATCAAATGAAGAGCAAATCTAAGCCAATTTCATCAAGACAAAGATCCGTTTAAAGTTGGCAATTAATTTTAGTCCCCATGGCTTCAGTACCTTCGAAGCTCGCGTGAATCCTTGCATGCTAGAGTAAATGGGATATGGAAGTATAGGGTAGTGTGGCTGGGCCTGTCCAACCACCAGGCAGCAAAGGTTGGAGAAAAATAAAGCGGGTCCACGTCGATGCCCATCAGTGTGTCGTGCTTTCCTTTGCCACCAAGTCTAAAGACATCCTTTCAACACTCTGCACCTTCACCTCATTTGACTCGCCCATCCCCGCCAGAAAGTGAGTCGCAATCATGGGTGGCGGAGATCTGAATTTGAAGAAGTCGTTCCATCCGACTCTGCGACGCAACCAGGCCGCCGTCTACGATGAGGAACAGAAAGCCCTTGCCGAGCGCAAGCGCACCCAACAACGCATCAATGAACTCAAAGAGGAGCGTGCCAAGGAGGAACTCCAGCGTCAGCTGGAGGCAGCAGGCGGGAAGAAGCGGGTAGACCGTGTCGACTGGATGTATTCTGGAGCCGGTGATGGCCCTGGAGGCAACGCTGAAAGCCAGGAAGCCTACCTGCTGGGCAAGCGGCGCATCGACAACCTGATCAAAGGCACCGAACACAAGAAGCTGGAGAAAGGGGCAGGACAAGAAAGTTTTATGGCCCTGCAGAATGCCAACACTGCACGAGATACTGCGGCCAAGATTCGAGACGATCCTTTACTTGCAATCAAGCGCCAAGAACAAGCGGCCTACGAGGCGATGATGAACGATCCGATCAGGCGCCGGCAACTACTTGCTTCCATGGGAGTGGAGGGCGAAAAGAAAGAAAAATCACGACATCGCGAAGAGCGACACAAGCACAGACATCACAGGCACCACCGAGATGATGGCTCAGACGACGAGCGCGGCAGGCGTAGGCGCAGGCGATCGTACTCACGATCACGGAGCCCTCGACCCCGTGATGAGTCTGATGATGAGAAGAGACACAAGCGAAGACGACGCGACTACTCTACAGAACGAGACTCCCACCGAGGCAGGGATCGCAGGGATAACTCCGAAGAGAGGAGTAGCCGGCGAGATCGAAGCGGCGAAGATAGGCGTCGTTACAAGAGAGAAGAAGAAACCGACTCTGGACACCGGTCTCGTCGACGCTCGCCATCACGCTCCCCCGATAGGTCTCATCGCCGTCACAATACAGATCGCCGAGATAGCCGCAATTATAATGGCGGTGACTACAAAAGGGATCGCCCAAGGGAGAATGGGTGGCAAAAGAATAACTATAACAATGGCCGTTCACGACACAATGGAAACGGATCGCCTCCTCGAAACGCAGAGAATGGTGCAGACAAGGAAGCAGAGCGAGCCCGGAAGTTGGCAGCCATGCAGTCTGCCGCATCAGAGCTTGACGATGATCGTGTGAAGCGTCTGGCAGCTCTGGAGGAGCGTGAACGTAACGCACGTGAGGCGGATGACCGAGGTCGGGAGCGTGGAGGCGACCGTGGATTTGTCAATGGCCTCCACAAGCAAGCGAGCAAGATCGACTTGGCTGGGAGGATGGGCGGCAGAGGTCGACAGGGATACCGGGCGGATGACGAATAGGCGACACCATCACGGCCGTATAGGACTCGATAAGTCGATATGCATTGTCAAATCAGACAGGAGGGAAGGGGATGCATTGCTGCTTAGCACACTGGCGTATACTACGAGGTCATAATTTGGGCATGGGCCATTTCACGAGGGCGTTTCGTTACACTCCATTTTGTCATTTTTTGATGAGAAAATCATGTATCACGTTATGAGTAGATTGATACGATACGAAGAGAAATCATGTTATCCAAGCACACTGAAATATACGAGGCTGTAGTGCTCGTGATGATGTAGCAGGACGGTGGGGAAGAACGGAAGGATGGCACCGTACTCACGCGATCAGTTTGTTGGTCAGGCTGACTTCTTTAGTGAGTACACTGGATAAGCAGCTTGGCCCTTTTCCGATTGTTGTTTGTTGATTGCACTCACCGTTGCCCTTTGGTCTGCAGTCATCATCAATAGAATGACTGCATGGCAATAATCATATTGGCTGATCCTGCGGCTGGAACATGTTTTCTCGACGTCCCGTCCAGTGCCTGTGGAGCGGGCCACTGAGGCACATGCCAAGGGGCTGCATGCAGTACGATGTCTAGTCTATGTGGACTGGCACAACCCGGTGCACCATCCGTGGATTATTCGCGGGAGGACCTGGGCTAGCAACGTTCCGGGCCTGGTGCTGCACTCAGGGTTGCCATTGTTCTGGATCGTCACATCAAAACAGAAGGTTGTAACGGTTGGTGTGCACGTACTAGTAGAATGTAATACCAAGTACGAATTTTCGATGCCAACATCCCAGGTCAATTGCCGCAGTACCCCTTTCTTTTCTCTCCTGGCTTCGATCTCGGCGCCACGCTGGATAGATTGGCTTGATATAGCGGATGGCTGCAATCAGCCAATAAACTGGCGGCTTGCACCCGAGAGGAGGAAGAAACCCCCGCCACAGTCAGCATTTCGGCGTATCTTCTTTCTCCCACATCAAGCCGGCTGCTGGACAGAGACTGACGGGTCGGAATAGGCTTTCCTTCTCATGGTGAGCCATTGTCAAGGCTGCTTTGGGAACGGCACCAGCCGACGGCGGCGTGATTGGTGCATGTCGAGGTCAATCTCCTGAGTGGAACGGCTCCACTGCAGGGGCCGTTATGCGCTGAACCAGGACCCAAATCAACTGTTTGCAGGCCCGATTCCCTGGATGGCTGCATTGGATGGTACCTGAAGGGCGCTACGGGCGAGCTCGTTAGTGGATTCATAGGTAGCCCCCACTGGCATCTGCAGCGCCTGATTGCTTGGAGCTAGTGCTCCGCAGCGTTGAAGAAACAGTAGCACTTGATTACTATTAGTGGTTCACCTATGCTAATCTACGGGCCCCGGGAATGTGGTATTTGGCTGGGCAGGCGGACAATTGCTTGATGCCTGCATCCTGCTCGGAAGACAACCTGCACGCTGCCTATTGTCTCATGCAGGCGTCTGTCAAGGCATTCTCATTTGCATGGCTATGCGGCGGAGACTTTGATTGCAATGGATGGAGGGATGAACGGATGGAAGCAAGCAAGCGGCCAGCAATTGATTGCCTACATGACCTCTCCACTGGCTGTCTGCAGGTATGACTGGCGCCCCAGCAGTGCTTAATTGATCCCCAGCGGGCCATTTGATTGATCACCGAGGTGCAAATCTCCCTCTCCCTTTCCTTAGACTCGAGGGGGGATAAGCCCCAGCGTCGCCTTTCACACCCGCCTGCATTCGCTCCCAAACCTTCCCTTCTTTGTTTCCCGCCTCGACTTCAGTTCGGCTGCCCCTCTTTGTCTTCTAGACTCTCGCTCACCCACCCACTCGTTCACTCGTTTTGCTTCAGCCACATCTCGGAACGCGCTAGAATCTCGGGCACAGCCCTCCATCAGCTCCGCGCTTCCTTTTCCCTTCTGTCTCAAGTTTCGACACACCACCAACGACGAGCCCACTACCCGCAACCGTCGTCGTTTGCGCTTCAGCCCGGTTTGCCTTCGACTGCCTCTCTGCGACGCATTAAGCCTCCGATCGCCCGCCCGCCCGACATCCTACTCCCTGCGCGAAACGGCCGATCTTGCCAGCATCTTCCGACGCGGCTAAATTCATATTCGACCCCCTTCCCCTCGGCATTGGAGGCCGCGAATTCGACGATCTCCTGTCCTCATCCTCGCGATTGACAGCACCCCCTGTGCCTGTGAAGAACATCTGACGATATGCCTGCTCTCTGTGGAGGATCCAAGACCGTCCAGCGCAAGCTGGTCCTGCTGTGCGTCCGAACTTGCCCCATCCCTAGAGCTCGACATGCGATGCGATGCTATGCGATGCGATGCTATGCGATGCAACCTACAAATGCGGGATGAACTATGCTGACGACGGAAATAGGGGTGACGGTGCCAGCGGTAAAACGTCCCTGCTGAACGTCTTTACGAGGGGGTATGTCGCAAGAACCATGGTTTTCATTTGGTCGTTGCCCAAGCCTTTGCTAATCAAATTCGTAGCTACTTCCCGACTGTTTACGAGCCCACCGTCTTCGAAAACTATGTTCACGGTATGTGCAGCTTGACTGGGAACTAAGCGTGTTGGGTTACTGACAGGGGCTTCTGATTAGACATCTTCGTCGACAATGTTCATATCGAACTATCTCTCTGGGATACGGCAGGACAGGAAGAATTCGACCGTTTACGATCACTCTCATACGGTATGGCATCCCCCTGACAATAATCTGTGCATGACCCCCGAGACCAATTATACTAACAGAACGCCCTAGATGACACCGACCTGATTATGCTCTGCTTTTCCGTCGACAGTAAGGATTCGTTAGAAAACGTGGAGTCGAAATGGGTGGGCGAGATTGCCGACAACTGCCCTGGGACGAAACTGGTCCTTGTCGCTCTCAAGTGCGATCTGCGAGAACAGGGCGGCGAGGAAGACGAGGACGGCGAAGGCGCCAACACCGAGGCCGCCGAGCAACCGCGTGAGAAGAAGCCAACCATCAGCTACGAACAAGGACTCGAGGTAGCCCGTCGCATAGGAGCTCTCCGCTATCTCGAATGCTCGGCGATGCGAAATCGCGGTGTCAACGAGGCCTTTACCGAGGCTGCGCGCGTTGCCCTGAGTGTGAAGAAGGATACCGAGGAGAGCAAGTGCATCATCATGTAAATGAGCACGTTGACGACTAAGCGATGCTACGAGTGCGCGGTCGGCCATGCGATCCTTTTCGGCGAATGGGATTCCACACAATCCCATCCCCTTGTTCGATGCCTGTACTCCAGTTGAAACCTACATCGAGAAACGGACCGAAGTCGACCGACCTGCGAACCCCTTTATGTTGGAGTCGGCTGATATTTTTCGCTGCTTATTCTTTTATCTCCTTCGACTGTACATATTTCGAACACGAATCGCTTTTACCTACATACCTATGGCGCACGCGGTCCTACACATTTAACCTAATATGAAGAGACGGAGGGTTGGATTGGAGGATATTCTTTCGCCTGGGTTCTGTCAAACACATACATACCCGCATGGAAGCCAACCATATTCTGGACCCCGACGAATTGGAAGTTGTGGCGTGGCAGGTATAGCGATGACGATACTGGGGCCGATTTTACCCTACTACATTTTTTATTATTATCGTTTTTGTTCCTTGTTCGCACTTGTGTCTTGGTCATGACCTCCGCCTGTGGGTGTACCCTGTTACTTTATCCTATTTTTATTCACGTCCTACTCCTGGCTCAATAATTAGCATGAGTTTGCTGTTAGAGAAGGCATTTCTTTTTCCATCTTCCTATCCAATTGACTGAATCCATGCCCTCTCCTTCTCTATCATTTCCTTCATGTCCTTTCTTAGTTAGTTATCTCGGCTTCCTCTTAGGGGTGAAAATTTTCCTGGAGGTGGCTGACACGAGTCAGCGCTCTGGGTTGACACAAATCCATGTAATCTACTACGATATCCGAAAAGGAGAAGGGAGAGGGGAAAACAAAGCTTGATTATTTAACACGAGTCTTTCTTCGATACCACTGTTGTGTCTGGTCTATGATAAGGAAGAACAACTACACGAAATGGTATATGAGCTGCCTGAGCTAGTCTGACCTTCCCCAAGCTGAACATCAGGATGTCGATCCATGCTTAGAGCGGGCGTCCGAGAGCTAGTTGGCAAGTTGGATAGAGAGTGTAGGTGACGCAGCTCCTCGCAGGACTCGCTTTCATCCGTCCAGGGTCGTCGCTATAGACTATCTACCATACGTATTGCGGTCAGCAAGCGAGAAGCGATGCATGTCACTGGTAACATCCCCAGTCACACCCAGACCGACCTGATTGAATCTGCAGGGACCACTGGAAAGGGTCCAAAACCCTGATTCCGTCCTGTTTGAGCCTGGAGGGTCTGAAGCAAGATGACGAACATATTTTGGCGGCCTCTGGAGGTGAGCAAGTGAGGAGGGCGAGGACCCTGCATGGACTCAAGGGACGAGTGGTAAGGGACCGGGATGTGGGCCAATCACCGGCCGGTGCGCCCACAAGCCAGACGCTTCTCACTAGATGTGGGTGGAAGCTGGAGCGAGTTTAGCTGGTGGGATTTTCTCGCCACTAGCCTTGTCGGGGAGCTTCAATTAAGGGTTTTGACGTCACGACCAAGGGGTCTCCCACCATCCTCCATCGCCAAAACAGGGTTTCGACCTGGTTTGGAGCGCCGATGAGGGCCGTATCATCAGATAGCGCTGTCGCTGTTGCGTGGGGTCATCGCACGTCGTGGGAAGTGATGGCCAGGAGCCAGACGAGGGTGATGATGATGACAGCGATGACGGAATTTCTGGTGGGCGATCAGTCGCGGGATGTGGTGAGAACCAAGGGATATACCGATTAGTATAAAGAAGAGTCGCTTGGCCTTGCCATGGGGTTGAAGCTGTATCGACAATCACACAGTGATATCCTCTAACAAGCTTCTATATCTTCTTTTCCACGGTGACATTACGTCGCGATCATCTCAACTTTGCCCATCCAGGAACATCACACTTACCTACAACCACCAACATGCCTTTCTTCGGATCCTCCCGCCGCGTAGAGCCTGAGCCTGAGCCCGTCCCAGCTCCCACCCGCAGCCACGGCAGCATCTTCAGTCGACGCCAGCCCGAGCCGGCCCCCGTGCCCCAGCCCGTGCCCAAGAAGCACGGCATCTTCCACCGCCGCGGGTCCTCCCCCTCGCCCGACCGCGTCGCCTCGCAGAAGGGCAGCATCCACGGCCACCATGGCATCGGCAGCCGCCACTCCGTGTCCAGCATGTCCTCCCACAGCAGCAGCGACGGCGGCAAGATGAGCCGCCACTCCGCCGGAGGGGGCAGCATCCTGGGCCGCAAGCTGGGCAGCCGCAACGACCCCATCGCGCTGGCCAAGAACCGCGTGCTGGCGGCGGAGAAGGCCGAGATCGCCGCGGACCGCGCGCTCGCCGTGTCCAAGAAGGAGGTCCTCGAGGCCCGCGAGGCCGTGGAGAGGGTCGAGAAGGACCTGCGCGCCAAGCAGATGGCCGTCAGGGAGGTGAGCGCTCGTGGGCGCGGACTTGGACGTGAGTAACGAATCCTCCCCCTTGATATTTTTTCCCTCTCTCGCTCCTGCGAACATTTCATGAACGACTCTCTTTTCTCTCGCTGCATTGCACATTGACCAGGATGCTGATGATACTGACACAAGGCCATGATCTGTTCTAGGCCACTCATAAATCGGCCATTATTAGATTGAGGCTGCCTCGCCTTCTCATGGCGGGGATTGATGAACCATTCATGACAATTTGAAGAAAACTTGTTTCCTTTGTCTTTCAGAAGCTGGAGCTGGAGCGATCTTATTTCTCTTTTTTTTTTTTTTTTACCTTCGTCTTTTCTTGATTCCTGTTGTTTTGTCATTCATACCTTGCAGATCGATATCCCTTCGGACACAACTTTCCTTATGTCATTGATAGAGACGAGATTGATTACTCCAATTGTCTCGTGGGTTCGTTCCCACGTCTTTCTCTCCTTTGGAAGTGCTTGGAAGAGTTATCCAGACTGTCCGGGGAAGTGAGCACTTGCTCGATACAACCTTGATGCTTGGGGGTTACCCCTTATACAAACGAATAAATAGGCGACCCATGGTTTATATGGTATGACATTATCCTTGCTAGTTCTGTACATATTGTGGAACATGGAGTACAGAATCAATAAAAGAACCCATAAATGCTGAACCAGAGCCGGCTATTACTCTCTAGTGTAGCGCACGTGCAATGATATGTCTTGTGCGGACCTGTTGCCGATCATTCATCGGAATGGAGCGAGACGTGAACTGAGGTTTCTCGAGTCCTCGAGCGGCGGTGAGGAGAGATGAGACCTGGAAAGCATAAAGCATTGTGCATAGTAAGATTCGGTGCCGACGAAACAGGCGCTGAAACCTTGGAGCTCTCGCCCCTTTTAGATCGGCTTATCGGCACCAGCAGGGACAGCCACGCGGCAGTTGATCTTTTATCCATGGACAGCAGTCCTGAATGGCTGGAGAACAAGTAGATAATGAACTACCTACCTAAACTGCACGCATTGTGGCCGTGGGATGTCTGCACTAAGAAGACTGGCTCGGGATTTACCTTCGCGAACCATGGCCTCTCCCGCTAGCTATGGCTTGGGATGGAAATAGACTTGCCGATCCCGCCGTAGACGGTAACTGGAGCTGGACGGGAAATTGCGTGCAGGGACTGGTGGATGGATCATGGACGTAGCCACCGCCGTAATAAGCACCTTATCCCTGCCAAGCCTGCGCGGGACCCTCGTTGTCCGCGGGCAGCCTCGTACGTTTGCTACACAAAGTTGATAAGAGAGAGAGCCATTGGGATAGGAGAGAGATACACAAGCAGTTATGAAGGCCAAGGACGCTCCTCCGCCACCGCCACCCCTTGGCCTCGAGGTCAGGGACGCACTCAGGGGCTGGAGATTTCTGATCCAATTGCCTTGATTGGACCAGTCGAGGGGCCAAGATATGAGAAGGGGGGCCATTAATTGCCAGGACTGCATGGAGCGTTTCCACGTTCATCTGAAGTCTACAGCAATGGTCTCGGCAGGCGGGTGTTTCATCTTCCTTCGAGTCGCCACTCTCTCCCTTTGTCCTCCCTTCTTTCTCCTGCCTCGATCTTATAGGCAATTGGTGCTGCCCCGTGTTTCTGAGTCCGCGGTACCGTCCACTCCTTTCACGACGCCCAAGACAGGTTGGATCAGCGGTGCGCACGCACAAAAGCCACCCTCTCATTCATTTCTCCCCTCGATCCAATAATCCCTCCTTCCAAACACCCAGGAGCCTGTCGTTCATTCCTTTCGACGACTCTCCCGCAGTCACTCATTCCGGCCAGACGTCGTGCTATATTCAGGATCCAGCTGGATCCTACAGAAAGACCCAGGAACTGGCACCACATATCCAGCTCCACTAATTTTATCCAGATCCTCATTTCCGTTGGGAATTTTAGAATACTTCTTTTCCTTTTTCATTCATTCATTCTTTCCTGTTTCATCAGTGAAGCTGTCGTTTGTTAATTTCCTTTTGGACAATTGCCCCGCGTTTTAGCTGGTGCAAAGAGAGATCTACAGAGGGAGCATCGTCTTCCTCGATCTGGTGATAGCCTCACTTACACCAAAGTCGAGTAAGCAAGCAAGCGAGCAAGCCAACAACACACCACCCAAAATGCTGTCGCGGAGCCTCCTCGCCATGGCAGCGGCACTGGCATCCCTCGCCGCCGCCCAGGTCACGACGGACTGCAACCCCATGAAGGAGGACTGCCCCAACGACCCGGCGCTCGGGACCTCGCAGTACTTCAACTTCAACCAGACGCAGAACAGCAAGCTCTGGGAGACGCACGTCGGCAAGGTCGAATGGGACGCCGACACGGGCGCCAAGCTCGTCGTCGCCAAGCAGGGGGACTCGCCCACCCTGCGCACCAAGTTCTACATCTTTGGAGGGCGCGTCGAGCTCAAGCTCAAGGCTGCCCCGGGGGCGGGCATCATCAGCTCCATGATGCTGCTGGGCGATAATCTGGACGAGATCGACTGGGAGTTCATCGGGAGCAACACGACCCACGCGACGACCAACTTCTACGGCAAGGGCGTCGAGGACTTCACCAAGGGCGGGTGGCACCCCATGGCGAGCCCGCCGCAGGACGACTACCACAACTACACGGTGGACTGGCGCAAGGACAGGCTGGACTGGTATATTGACTCGCAGCTCGTGCGGACCGTCGTCCCCGGCGCCGAGACCACGTCTGAGGGCAAGGACACCTTCCCCCAGACGCCACTGCGTTTGAGTCTCGGTATCTGGGCCGGTGGTGATCCCAGGATGCCCGAGGGCACACGCAAGTGGGCTGGAGGTGACACCGACTACAACGCTGGGCCCTACGAGATGCATGTTAAGAGCGTCTTCGTCGAGGACTACAGCAGCGGCAAGGAGTACAAGTTCGGCGACAAGTCAGGATCCTGGGACAGCATTGAGGTTATCTCGTAAGTCAATCAGCCCTTCTCCCCCTTAAAGATCATACCAACTGATCCATTTTCCTACAGAGGAAACTCAACCGCCCTCAACGCCATCAACGAGCCCCCCGAGGAAGCCGAGAAGTCCACTAGTGAGAAGTTCAACGCGCTCCCCGAGGGCGCCAAGATGGGCATCTACATCGGCAGCGGCGTCGCGGGTT